AGGGCTTAAAGGGTTCATAAAATAAATGTGAATTATTTAATTTAATTATTTTTTACTAACTATACTGATAGCGTCTTTTTGTTTTTGTAAGCTTTGTATCAAATCTGTTTACCCTTTTTCTCAGTTCTAACAATATAAAATAGACACTTTTTGACATAGTATAGAAGAAGAGATATTGGGTTGTCCGGAAAATAATGCAGGATTNTTTTTTAAGTCCAGTATAACGTACTTCCGAGAAAAAGTTGTGTCCGGCTAATCAAGCCCAAAAATGTCTACTTTTTGTTTGCCATGAAAATTCGTATTTAAGGGCTTTAAAGGATTATTAAAAATAATCTGTATTTTTTTAAATATATTTCTGGCCAACTTTACTGAAAGTGCCTTAAAAAGATAAGTAACTTTTTATTAATCAAATCTCATTTAATACGATCAAGCATATTATTTTCTTATTCCAGGTATTAAAAAAAATTATTTACATATAATAACCTTGGAATCCATGAACAACAAAGGCACAAAACCATATTTTAAAATTTTTTGTAAATAACTTATATTTTTCGAATTCCAATTTGCCTGAGATTTTTTGTAGGAAATCATAAAACTGGTGATAACGTCCAAGCGGCTCTCCTGATCTAAATGAAACTTTACATAAGTTTAGAACCCTCTAAACTGCATGTAGGGGCATAAACGTGGCCTCCGTAAATGTATCAGAACCGAAGATATGAAATAATACATTTGAGTGTTTTGTTCAATTTAACCTCATTTTCTCTAGTATAGAAACATAAAATGCAAACATTGTACACATAGTACGAAAGTAATCATTCAGCTTCCCATCGGTTACATTAACGTTTAATTTATATAAAATCTAGAGTGGCTATGAATTTTTAAGTGGAACAGGGAACATCGGAAAAATAAAAGTGACTCCACCCAGCTAAAAGCTTCACGCACCATTTAATTTATTTACTCAGGCCAGGTTTATGCCATTTATAGGGTTCTAAACCCATGAAAATTTCCTTGTTGTCCAGAAGAGTAGTAAGTTATAACCATTTTTGTGATTTTCCACAACAAAAAACTTCGGCTCTAAGGAATGCGAAAGATTTGAGATAAGAAAGCAGTTTTTGATTTCCTCAAATTTTCAGAATTTCTTTTTAATATTCTCCAAAATTTGTTTTCAAGGATTTTTTAGAGTGTAAAAAACGAATATCATCTTCGTTTCTTGCTAAACAAAAATCTTTGTAAAAAAACGCCGTCATGGGTCTCGTAGCTATTGAAATAAATTTGTATGCGAGCGACTTAGCTAAGTAGACTGAAATATTTTTTTATCAAGAAACGAAGTCGATTTTTTTTACGAGGGTTCGCAACAGCAGAGGTCATATAAACCCTCAGGGTGCCGGTGTTTTTGAAAAAAAGCCCATTTGTAAGTATGTCGGATTCGAATGCAGGGCCGCTGGATTCGAACCCGGGACCTTTACTTTACAGTGATGAGCGCCGTGTCAAAGACTAAACCTTGCGGCCACCGACGCCCCAAAGTCGATATTAGTTTTCTGCACCAATTTTCCAGGAAAATCAAAAAGTATAATTTTTTATCAAATTTTTCTTCTTCCATATGGCTATTTGTCGAAAATCACAAAAACACTGATGAATTTTAAACTACTCCACTCATCAACATGAAACTTCATACGAGTATAGAACCTTATAAACTACACATAAGGGTTACATAAATATGACATGGCTACGTCAATGGGCCACATTCATGTTTCAATTTTTTTCTCAAAACGGTGACATCAGAAGACCATATTTTTTGTGTAAATTACTTTAAATAGTTTGATTTCCTCGACGCCTTGATTGGCAACGCTCGGACACGTGTCTAATATTTTTTGACCTAATACCACAAAAGAAAAAAAACTTTCTTTACAAACGATCCAAGTATGTAGTCTCCCTTGTTAGATTTATGTTCCACAGCCATATGAGCTTTATCCTTTCTCGGGTCCACGTTCCTCAATCGGTATGTCATTCGTCACACTTCTCGGAAGTCCAGGAGGATGACAAACATGTACAACTTGATGAAGGACTTTTTAAACACTCGCAAAACTTAGCCGATGCTTAATTGTATTCAATTTAGCTTTTTTTTAAATAAATATTCTTGACAATCATTATCTTCTAGTTGGATTAATAACAGTGATTATAGGGTTGTTGTGTGTAGTAAAAAAAAATTTATCAGCCTGACTTCGACGCTAATCGTTAAATCATTCTAACGAAACGTTCATCCAAAAAAGGTGAGATCTTTGAATAGATTATAGCGTATAGGGAGAAAGTAACGGCTCCGCGGCACATTCCGTCCTGCCTTGTTATTTATTGCCGTACTGACAAAAAAAAAAAAAAAAATTACGACAAAATACTTTGGTGTTTGTCACTTTCTGGTCAAATCAGCTAGCTTCGATAATGATTTGTCGGTAGTGCATAGCTTAAAAGATTATTCAGTCGGGGTAGCATTAGTCTTATCCCATAATCGATTTTCTTCGGTGTCTACCTCTGTTCCATCAAGATACTGGATAAGAAGACCACAACCAGCAACTAACATCGTCTTTATTCAAAAACCATAAAGCCATCGAATAGTAATTTGGTCAGACAACCTGAAAATATGAAGAAACTTCCAAAAATGATCTAGAAAAAGAAAAGGCTTTGTTGGGTTAACAAGAGAAGGTTGTCACCTTCTAAAATTGAAATTTTCCACTATTGAGTTTAAACAAGAGGATTGGAATGGTATCTAAAAAATCTTTTACAGTATTTATCACAAACAATTCTCCTTCTGTCAAACACTTAAAATAGTGAAATGTTTTGATAGGGATCCTTGGCGTTAAATATAAAACGCTTACAAAATGAGCGGCTGGTTGCTGAGTGAAACAGCTGCCTCCAGGCAGCTCGCAGCTGCTTCTCTTCTTGTAATTTTGTAATGTTAAATAATTACAGTTGATTAACCCAATAAGGTGATGGGTTGTTCGATTATTTGAATTTTAGAAAAAAATGGAATATCTCCAAAAGGCAATATTGCGTCCCTCGCGGTTTCCCGTTTTCAACCTCAAGTCGGCTCTTTTATAACTCCCCAAAGCCAAATCGCAATGTACATGATGAGGTTTCTGTCAGGCATAGAAAGGTTGCGAAGAATGGATAACGTAAACGGAGGATTAGTCTTGGCCGTCGTGGGGGCATTCCGGGCCACCAACGAAGAGACAAGGCACAACGGAAAGTTTGGGACACAAGTCTTCCGACGCTTCCTCAAATGCGCTCCCATGAACAAAAAAGCGACACGGGCTTAATACCATAATCATATTTGATGACCGAGCGATAAAGCAAAGTAGGATAAATTATCTTTCTTTTTGGTGATTCTAGGGCGAAAAATATTTAGACACGTGTCCAGGCGTTCTTACCTATGGCCAAAGGAGCAGAGAAAAAATTGAAAGTAATTTATGTACATTTTTACGATGGTTTTCCGTCTTTGTCATATATCAGACGATTTGTTTTATTGCTTTGAATAAGAAAATAATAAGCAGTATAGCATTAAATGAGATTAGATATATAAAACGTTAGAAAATTCAAAAGACGCTTTCTGTAAAGTAGGCAAAAAAATATTTAAAAAAAAACACAATTCAGATTCATTTTTAGCACTCTTAAAGGCCCTTAAATCCGAATTTTCATGGCAAACAAAAAATGGATATTTTTGTGCTCCATCGGCAGGATCCATTTTTTTCCGCCGATGTCCGGTATTCTGGACATAAAAATTCATAACTCCCCTGGTTTCTACCCAAATTCAAAGTCATTACAATCATTGGAAAACTTATTAGCTCTTCTTTTATATTATGTCAACAAAGTGTAAGAAAAATAAGGGTGAAATGAACAAAACCACCAAAAACGTTTTATTTAACATCTTTGGTTCTGATTTATCTAAGGATACCAAGTTTATGCCATTAAGTGAAGTTTATAGGTTCTAAACAAATATAAAAGGTCATGTTGATCAGAGGAATAGTTTCAAAGTTATCACTATTTTATAACGTTAGAATGGTTAGATGAAAATGGTTAAAACTTGACCTCATTGTCAGATTCGTGATTCTAGCGTTATAAAACCCTTAGATACCGACTTTCGGTATAAATAAATTTTTTGACTGTTAATTTCGAAGAACTTTCTGCCAGACTGACATTCCTAGTGCAAGCTCTGACATCGTTTTTCTCAAAAGCTAGGAGACCGATTTCCATGGTTGATAATTCGTTTTAAAGAAATTGTCGAGTGCATATTATTGCAATGCATATTATCAAACATTAAAAGAGGATTATTTTTTCCATTAAAAAAACGAGGTTAGTTTATAACAACTAATTTCCATAATTTTGTCTATTTTTTAGAAATATTTTAATGGTGCATCGTTAAAAAGCTACGTTCCTCTTCTTTCAATTAATCTGTTTGAGGTTAAAATCCTTTAAGACGTTTTTAAATTATAGCCGTTTCAATTGGTTATACCGATAACCACTTCTCTAAAAACGGAAAAGTTTTAGGGGGTTAAAAAACTGATACATTTATATTTAGGGATCTCTAGAGATGCTAAAACGAAATTTCATATTAGTTTCAAGTATTAATTCACTATTTTCGTGGTCCGCTTGACCAATTAATACAAGACAATTAATTAAGGTTTGTAATTGAGATGAAAAAAAGCTAATGGCACGAGAGGGATTCGAACNCTTCATTTTTAAATCATTAATTCACTATTTTCGTGGTCCGCTTGACCAATTAATACAAGACAATTAATTAAGGTTTTTAGTTGAGATAAAAAAAGTTAATGGCACGAGAGGGATTCGAACCCACGACCTTCGGCTAGATACGCTATACGCGTATCTCTCGTGCCATTAACTTTTTTTATCCCAACTAAAAACCTTAATTAATTGTAATGTATATATAAATTTAAACCATCGATACACTATGAAAGAATCTACAAGTCATGCAACAAACATTGATTTACCGTGTATATCGGAAGTGCTGTACTGCTATTCACTTTGGAAAACTCACGAACTGCCGATAGATCTGAAACAAAGGAATATTGACAAACTACAACACAATTTACATCATGTTAGGTATGCTTATTTAAAACTAATTGACATGCAGCATTGTTCTCACGACAAATACGTTTACACCTGTAAACAACGGCCAGTTTCGTTAATAAACCATTAAGACCCTCTGGACGATTTTGACTAATCCAATATTCAGCAGATTACACTGGAGTTTTTTAAACGACTAGCCCCTTTTGTTTTGAAAAGTGTTCTTTCTAGTCTGATAGCTAATTAGGACGAACCTTCAAAGATATGTGCTAAACACCTCAGTGCAAACAAGACCTATTAGCGTAGATGGTATGCTAAGGAAGACTTTTACCAACGTTATGAATTTGCACAGGTAATAATTTAGAAATTGAAATGAATCTGTTAAATTTATTTTGAGTTTTGTTTTATGTGTGTCGAACAATCTGAGGACAGACGGATTTTGCCTGCTTCAGAGTATGGACACGTAATGTGTACGTGGGTAGCTCGATATTGCACTGTAGAATCTGCTGAAACCGTTGAAAAAAGGAAGGATACAATTATATATCCATGCTAACATTGTGTTTTTTTTTCAATCGAAGGTTATAAAGTGGTGAACTTCCAAAGCCAAAACATTGTCATAAAATAAGAACTGTATGACTTTTTTGAAAATTGCATTTGGTAAAATTGCGAAGACATTTACATTCAGAGTGTTAAGAAATTGTAAATTAAAATAGACGACAGAGCAGACTGGGAGACAGGGATCTGATATACAGATGACTCCAAGACCCATTTAGTTTTGACCTAATATCATCCCAACTTCTTCTACACCCTCAAAAAGCTAAATATTTTAATAATTACTAATGAATAATTTAATCCATATTGTAGCGAAAACTTAAGTCCGTCACAAAATCATACTTTGGATTTTTTCCTCGAATGGTTGTCATTCCCCTTAGCTGTCCCTAAGGTCTCTACCTCAAACCCTTTTAATTTCATATTAGCCCGTTTTAATTTCAAAGTAACTGCTATTAAGTTAAAATTAAACCCGTTTTAACTTCACATTAGTCTTTTTTTTAAATTCCAATCCTTTCTGTAAAACATAAAAGCCAGATTGTATGAAATGTAAGTATATGGAGTAAAATTCCTGCATTTGAAAAAAATTATCATATATGAATATACTGGAAGGTAACCGCAACAGAATCAGGTCCTTGGACTCCTGACAGGGCAGTGACGCCTAAGATGGCACATGCACCGGATAGGTGTGCTAACGGAAAAAACACTACGCAGATACTCCTAGGAAGAATAGGAGACCACAGAACATATAATATGTTTTTGTGAGGGTAATCTTCATCTTTTGGGGTTCTTGCAACTAGGAAAGGAAAAGCGGCAAGCAAGACCTACTAAGGTCAAGGTGCGGAAGGCCTTGTGAGTGCCTCATTTATCCCTATTTGTATCCCTTGGTTATAATACTCCTCAATACAGTTCAAGACTCCCAGGACATCAAGATTGACCAAGGCGCAAGTATGCAGTTCTTTCTCCACGGGTGGTAGACAATTGTTATAGCCTCCTGCTATTTGTTCACCCATAATTGTTAAAGAAAGAATTTTTAAATTAAAATTTTAAAATTAAAAAAGGGTTAATTTAACAAAATAAAAGGTTATTTTATTTACTTTACTTTAAATTCTCAAATATACAGGACTTATACTTTACTTGTTTATATTTAGTAGCATTTTCTGAGTCTTTTTTAATCTCCTATCTCTAAACCCTAAGTTGTTTTTAACGTAATAGTAAACAGCTGAATTCAGCCTTGATTGAACCATGATGCGTCACTCTACACACATCTAATAAAAAAGCATGACGAGGCGAACCAAAGCCCTTCGAAAACGTTTAGAAAACAAGACATGAAATGTGACAAGCCGCCAAAAGCGATTTGATCATTAGTGACGATCCGAGCCGAATAATAATTAGCCAGAAAGTCCAACTTCCTCCACCTTATATTATACGATGAACAAAAATCCTTTCTTTTACAATTATGTGTGAACAAACAGCAGGAGGCTATAACTATTGACTACCACCCGTGGAGAAAGAACTGCATACTTGCGCCTTGGTCAGTCTTAATGTCCTATTTTGACCAAGGGATACAAATAGGGATAAATGAGGCAACCACTAGGTCTTCCGCACCTTGACATTAGTAGATCTTGCTTGACGCCTTTCCTCTCCTAGTAGCAAGAATCCCCAAAAGAAGAAGAATACCCTCACAAAACATATTATATGTGCTGTGGTCTCCTATTCTTCCTAGGAGTATCTGCACAGTGTTTTTTCTGTTGGTACACCTATCCGGTGCATGTGCCTTCTAGGCGGCACTGAGGCGTCAGGAGTCCAAGGACCTGATTCTGTTGCAGTTACCTTCCAGTAATTTCTTTGTAATTCTTGTGAATGGCATTTTTGGTCCATAATTTCAATTATTAATCTCATATGATAATACGCTCATAGTTAGATACAAACTAACTTACTCAACAATAAATAAAAAAATTCATAGTAATTTACTAGTTGAAAAATTAGATAAAATGGCAACTGGACAGACCGCTAATGGACATTGACTATTTATTTGCTTATATTACTTGTAAATAAATTTAAATAAAATATTTTATCTATCTAGTTTGATATTTTTCAAAAGATGACGTTGGCAATCATTTGTAAATTAAACAAGTAAAAAAATAGAATCATTCCTATTTATACGGTAGGCATGTCTGGACGATAGTGGTGATAAGAATTGGAAGATTGTAAGAGTGGAGGCCATCTCTTGCTTTAATGACTGATAGCACCCGTATTGGCAATCATAAAACATTTTTATAAAAAATCCTGGGTTATGTTGTCTCAGCCTTCTTTTAGCAAGGGTTGAAGGGGGTTGATTCCGTGAAACGACCCATTGTTGTGAAACTGTCCATGTTTGGTGGATTTGGTTTAGAACATTTAACCCCCCCCCCCCAAGAAATGCCGTCCCGGAATATGATATACCATCCTCCAAATGCCACTGTTTCTACGGGCAGTACTGACTGTACCGATCTCCAGGTCAACTCCACTCTTACCATCTAGACTGTTAAGGGTCTCGTCTCATCGGTGAATAGGACTTTTCCATTCCTCTACAATCCACGATTGGCAGACTCGTGCAAATCTTAGTCTATATGGTGTTCTGTGGTTAGAAGGAGGCCTTCTTGATCAAAGGTTTGATTCTCCGTCTTTTTCTAACATTGCCTGATTAACTCACTATCTAAAGCAAAAGAATATAACATATTAAAAAATAATTTGTCTAATTTTTACAGATTTTGAAATATTTATATTTTAATGGTTTCATTTCACCTCTGGTTGAGACCTACACCAATTCTCTGGTTGAGATACATTCAAAACCTCTAGTTAAAGCTCATCACAAACCTTAGTAGTTGAGATATATCCGAAACCTTTGTAGCTGACATTTATCCCACTCCTCTAGTTGAGATACACCCCAAACTTGTTTTGTTGAGATACACCCAAAATCTGTATTTGAGGAAACTTAAACTCCTGTTTGAGACATACACCTCTGGTAGAGGTATGCAATAGACCAACACTGGTCGCGGTGCACAGGTCGTAAAGAGGCTTGCTCCTATATAATCTATCTATGAACTCTGGTACAGATACATCCTGAACTTTTGTAGTAGAAACACATCTCAAACCTTTTTACTTGGAACACATCCTTCTGATCTAATGTTTGACTCAGCCTTCTTCTATTATTGCCTGATAAAACAATAAAATAATAAAACAAAATAATAAAAATATTCAAACATGATTTGCCGAATTTCTACAGATTTTGAAATGTTTCTGTTCTAATGTTCTGTTCATTTCGAAACACCCATTTATTAGCACTGTTGTGAAAAGTGATGCACCATAGGAATCCAGCCGAAAGGGTAATCATTTTCTATTACTTCATATCCATTTCTCAAAGCAAAACAATAATCCTCTTAAATGTAGTACGATAGAAAGAAGTACTTACGGATGCTTTTGAAACGACAAAATAAAAAATACACTAGAATATTTCAAAGGGTTCACTTTCAAAATAGGCCAGTATGATTGCGAGTTTGAATTGAAAAAGCGTGTTGAACCGAGTTGAGTTATCCGTTGTGCTCAGCCAACAGAATTATCACCTTTGTTTTCCCCACCCACTTGAAGTTTGATAACAAATCGTATCAACAATGGGCAAATAAACTGTAGAAAATTTTATCTTGAGCCAGTGGTGGAAACTATACAAGTTTATGAGGGCGGTCTGGTGAAAGTGTTTCTTTCATTCTCCAACTTAATATCGATCAAACAACGCTGTTTTAAGTCGGTACTGAACAGCTTCTCTTTAAATTTCGGAATTTAAGTCCAGAAAAGACCTGAGGTGTAGTACATGAATGCATTTTATTAACCACATTGAGATGGATAATGTGAATACATAGGGAATGAAATGAAACTTCATCTCACAAGTTTATTTTCCATAAAACAGTTTTATTCATAAAATATTTTTAAAACGTACATGAATTTTAGTCTTCAGTGGTTCGCATAAGTCATCATTTTCTACATTTTTCCAGCTTTGGATGTGTCTATGCCACTCCTGTAGCAGCGTTTTCCGTGTTTTTTTCGTTTAATCAAAGCGGTATTTCATTATTAAACCATTGTGTCACATCGAGATGTTGAGTGTAATTTATTGTAGCTCCACATTCTTGAATATGATGAAAAAACCCAATTCCAGCGAAGCATGAGAGAATGACTACACATTAAAACTCTGGTTGATCAACATCCCAAGCATCTGGTAGTGCTGCGCAAGAAAATTCTAGTAGAGCCACTTACAAACCCTCTGGTTGGGACTCATCTCAGTTGACACATATCCCAAACCTTTTTATTTAATACTCTTGCTAGCCCACACCACTAAAATGTTCGGTAACGATCTATCAAACAGGTCGCAAGTCATCTTTACTAGACGGAAAGACATATTGATAATGCCAATATGCCGAAACGAGAATTGAGCCATATCACAAACCTTTATAGTTGAATCACATCCCCCATCATATGCCGAGGCTCCTAAATTTTTGTAATTGAGACTAATCCAAACCTCTAATTGAGATTCATTACCAACCGTGTAGCCGAGACACATCTCAAACCTGTTTAGTTGAGACACATTTCAAACCTCTAGTTGAAACACATACCAAACCTGTGTACCTGAGGTACCTCAATTTTTGTAATTGAGGCTAACCCCAAGCTTCTATTTGAGATTCATATCAAACTTGTGTAGTCGAGACACATCACAAAAGCCTGTATGGTTTAGACCCACCAAAAAACCTCTGCTTAGGTCATGTGCCTTAGGGTAGAGCTGGAAACTAAAACTCTGGCTGTGACTTGCACGACACCTGCAGTAATGTCACTGACCAAACCTAAAAAAAATTATATTTTCAGTCTAAATCAAACTTGTACATTGTCGACTGATCCAGGTCGTCTACTCCTGTCCAAATTTTCTAAGATGACAGAATACTGTCGCATTTGAAAGGACAATTGAGGCCGTTAATCCCCGGGACCACCTGCGCATCAATGTAACGGTAAAACTTAAAAAAAAAACTGCTTCACGACTTAATAATAATAAATAAAAAGAACCTTGTTTTACACTTTTTGTTGTTCTAATGAAAATATCCAATATAGATTTGAAAGGTTATTGAATTGTAGGAAGGTAGTGAAGACCATGAAAACAAGTCTATTCTCACTTTCTTTAGTTTTAGTATTTCTTCACGGGTACGATTTTTCCATTAATTATACTGGAAAAATCGAGTAGTTCAAATGAAAATGCGAAGGATAATTGGGTACATTCCATCCTTGTGTAATTACAAAAAAATTATCTCATTTACTCGTATGCAAAGGCAGCCGGCTAGGAACCTAATTTTGTTATGATGCCAGAGACGGAATATAAATAGTATCGATCGTGACATGAAGGAATGACTCACACAAGTGCACTAAATATAAAATGATCAATGAAAAATATCCAGACGAAAGGTTCAATTTCGTCCTAGTGTCCTACATTTTTCAAACTCTATATTTGGTGAAAACATCATTTACGGATATCTTTCAGCAGGATACCGGTCAATATTAATTTAATATTCTGAATTTTTAATTAAAAAAAAAAAACTCGTTTAACTGTTCAATTAATAATTTGAAACGGCGTTCTTATCGTGATTTCCATAAAGTGGCGAGACAGGAAAGGAAATGCCGTGTACAAGAGTTCTATGTAATTTCCGAATTCAATACGGTCCTCTTTTGTGTACTGGCCCATTGTACGATATGTATATCTTTGTATGTTGATTGCACGTACTGGATCTCCAGGACACGGTATTCTTACGGCATTTTCACCTTGAACAAGTCCCCAACCAATGCATCCCACTACAGCCGTTTTTGGCATAATAAGGAGAAAATATAGTAATTTATAAAACCTTAAAAGGAACAGCCGTTTAATTTCAGTAGAAGGTTCGAAATCTCAAGAGTATCGAAAGTGATCGCAGTATCGAGGACGTCGGTACTTGATACGTGTTAGCATCAGCAGAATGAATCATTTGAGTTAGCTTGATAAAATGCTTTATTAACAACATAAATAGAAATAATGTCGAGGCTAAGATCTTTGAAAACGTTCAGAAAACAAGACATGGCATGTAACAAGCCGCCAAAAGCGATTTGATCATTAATGACGATCCGAGTCGAATAGTTATTAGCCTAAAAGTCCAACTTCCACCACCTTATAATTATTATATTGGGCTGGTGCAAAAATAATGCAGGACTTGAAAAAGCAGTCAAAACTAGTTTTAATTTTTATAAAATAAAAAAAAAGTATTCGAATATTTTCCATCACAATCAATACATTTTGGCCAACGTGTATTAAGCGCGTTTATCCCGCTGATATAAAAAAATTTATTTCGACTTACAATGAAGTCTTGGCAGTCGCTTCACCGCGTTCTCTAAAAATTCTATCTCCCAAGAAATGATAAAAATGCCTAAAACAGTAGAAGTCTGTTGGCGAGAGGTCGGGTGAATGTGGAGGGTGCTGTAAGGCTTCATATTCTAATTCCTTAAGTTTCCGCCGGGTTGGCATTGCGTTATCCTGAAGAAGAATCGTCCCCTTACGGTTTACCAATGCTGGAGAAAGACGTTGCAGTTTCCGGGGCATTTTGTCAATTTCTTGGTGATGTTTTTCTGCTGTGACAGTTTCACAATAATTCAGGAAATTGTAGCGAACGACCCCAGCAATACACCACCAACCAGCCACCACATTTTTGGGTGCAGATTTGGTTTCGGCAAGTGTTTTGGCGCTTCATGCTTGTCCAACCGCTGACCTGTACGCCTCCTGTAATCGCACAGAATCCATTTCTCATCGCACGTGATGATTCGATCGAGAAATAAATCTTTTTTGTGGCGCAACAGAAAAGACGTTCAAATTTCAAAGAGTCGATTTTTTTGGGCTTCGGTTAATTCGTGCGGTACCCAGTCGAGCTTCTTTACCTTACTTTTTCTGTTAAATTAACCCTTTTTAATTTTAAAATTTTAATTTAAAAATCCTTTCTTTAACAATTATGGGTGAACAAATAGAATGGCGCTATAACTATTGACTACACCCATGGAGAAGGACTGCATACTTGCGCCTTGGTCAACCTGAATGTCGTGGAAGACCTGAACGTATTGAGGAGGACCAAGGGATACAATAGGGATAAATGAGGCAGCCACAAGCCATCCGCACCTTGACGTTAGTAGGTCTTGCTTGCCGGTTTTCTTCTCCTAGTTGCAAGAAACCCCAGAAGAAGAAGAATACCCTCACAAAAACATACAATATGTTCTGCAGTCTTCTCTTCTTCCTAAGTAGTAAGTAGTGCACAATGTTTCTTCTGTCAGTACACCTATTTGGTGCATGTGCTCTCTTAGGAGGCCAATGACCTGATTCTGTTCAGTAATTTCTGTGTAACTCTTGCCCTTCTATGAATCTCTTCGCTCATAGAACAAAATGTTCCATCAGGTTTTGGACTCAATAAGGATCCATTTTGAATGTATCCTTTTTTTATGGCACGGTACGGTACGGGGCCTAGAGAATTCTACATGCCAGAGTCAAGTCATTCGTATCGCTGACTTCTGATAGGAATTCCATACAATTTCATACACTTTTGGCCTATACCTCGCATGAGGCTATGAAGAGTATCATAATCTGGAGCAGGTCCAAAAAGCATGACTTGGAGAAGAGGTTAACATTCTTAAGGCTAAATGTACCCTCTGTAATATGTCTATCCGGTCCCACGCAGCATAACAAAATGTTGCAAATTTATTTGACCTATCATTTTTATACTACTTCAAATTTTTGGGTTCTAAAAACGGAGTTAAAATCCGCAACAACATAGAATTTATGCTAATTGGTTTATAAAACTTAAAAAAGAAAAGAAAATCGGTAATTTTGTACTGAATATTTAAAGCTGAACTGCCTCTCAACAGCTTGACACAACGCATTCATATCGTGGCCAGAACATCACCTAGGTTACTTTATTGAATTGAGAATAAACACAATTTTCGCACAAGGAAAAATAAACAGAATATTTAGTTAATGCAGGAAATTGTTTCTTCGACATCGTACACTTCATTCGTATGTTGATGTCTTTTTGCAGTGAATTAAGACAAAACCCATTGTAGAATGAATGAACGTTACATTTCGGTTTTCTCTTCGATTCATGCCATCTTTATTCAAATAGTCCACTTAATTTTCATAGAAATGTCAGTAGACGACGATCTATGTTCTGCATATAGTAGATTAAATAGATTCTCACTCCGTGCCGGGCCTTGCTCGGATGTAATTGAGGAGAAATTTCGGAGCTCAAGACAATGCCTTGTAGAGGCAATGTTGCCCAAGATGGAAACGCTTTTATTGTTCCCTTTGACAGCGACAATTTATTAGCCTTTCGTTTATTTGCATATAAGATTACATGATGCGTCTAGTAGCCTGGTCACATAGTTCAGAAAATGATTTGACCTCGTTCGCGCTTTGTTTTGCCAAGCTTTTTGTCAAGGTGAAGTAATAACTTTCACCTGACTCAAAATGAAATAAATGAACTCAAAAATTCATTTGAGATTGAGTTAATTTATTGCTAT